TGCACCTTCTGATTATCATTTGTTTCGATCGCTGCAGAACAATTTGAATGGAAAAAAATTTAAAAATGTGGAAGACGTCAAAAACCACCTTGACACCTTTTTCAACGAGAAACCGCGCGATTTCTATGAATCAGGCATCCGTAAATTGGTTGAACGTTGGGAGTGGATTGCCGAACATGATGGCGAATACATAATTAATTAATAAAAGCGCTTTCTTCAAAAAAATTTCAATTTTAGTTTGCACTTGAAATCGGGCACGAACTTATGCACTCGCTGCTAGCTACTACAACAGATCTCCAGCGACCGCTTAAAAAAAAAGCAATTTGCGGTTATCTTTGTATTTCTGAAGTGAATCATCTGAAATGAACAAATCAAACGGATTTCGTTAAAGTAACGTTCAATCTTTTTTTTTTGACAAACTCGCGGCTTCTAAAAAAAAATTCAAAATTTCTCCATAATTTTGAATTTTAATTGCGCATTAAAAACAAACGTTTCATCGACAATGGCAAAGCTTTGATTAAGTACTAGAAAATATTCTTCAGAAGACTGTGTAAATAAATAAGTTTGCGACTAATCGGTTCAAACGTTCCCTAGAAATTATGCTCATCAACTTGAAAAACATAGTTTTGAGAAAAACGTGGCGCCACGACGGGCTTGCCGCTTTCAAATGCTCTGAGGCGGCGTTACAGATATACGTGTAATTTCAAAAGTAATATTCGGAACGCCTTGAATATTTGCGAGTATTTACTTTGACGAAAAAATTAAAAAAAAAAATAAAATCGATCTCTAGAAAATACTAGCTAGTGGCAACCCCTTAAGTCAGGTTAGGTTGAAGCGTTTGCCTGGCGTCACTGCCTCATTTACGCCACCAAGCGTTCTAACTTTCCTACCCCCATCCACCAGTCAAACCATTGTGTAGTGTTGTAAACAAAAAACAGACTCAACGGCATATATTTGCTCCTGCTATTTCGCACAAGACTCTAGAGATCGTCGCCAAAGAGCTTTTGATCTACTTCCTACCAAGTAACGTAGCATTCGAAACTGAAACACTTAAGGCTTCACCTATATCTTCCCCTCCACTGGGACTTCTACGAAACTCTGTTTTATGGTGCGCCCAAACTGCCTACTTGCTTATCCAATGGATTATGCTCTGTGAAAAGATGCGCAATTGTTGATATCGTCTTTCTTTTTAGCAAAATAAACTATCATCAACTTCTCTCATGCCATGTTGGTCCGGTTAACATTGCATCTTGAATTAACAACTGCGCTGAATAATTTACTCGTAGACGGCTCATATCTGGAGAGCGGCATGCCTAGACTCTTCCATTATGGCGCATGCAGAAGGAATTTCCGATGAAATGGAGGCGCCTATAGTTTGTACAAAGCCGTCTCCAAACGTCTGATGCCTCTCAAGAATGAGCTTTGTATAATTTAAAAAAACACATTTGGACGGGTTGACATTTTTTCCAAAAAAGCGACCGCAATTAGAAAGACTGCTTATAAAATAAGTTTTCTATAAGTTTGACTGTTAATCGGAATACACCAGGAGCCTTAGCATGGCAGTACGTACTGCTAGCCACACGGCTATTGTAGCCGCTTACCACTTCATCTACCCAACTTATTACCCGATATGTTATTGTGTCCGGGTTCTCCCAACAGCTGCAGTGAGATGCGATTTGCCAACACGTTAACTGACAGCGTGACAGACAAAATGGATTCCTGGGATATCGTATATGGAATGAGGACTTGTTTATACCAAGCTTCCTTAAGGAGATTTCAACAAGCTTTTTTAAGGAGATTTTTACCCATCAGTATAAATATTAATGAAGTGTTTATATTCCTGGTTCTACCCGTAATAAAGATCTCGTAGGATATATAGTAGTCCGCTTCTGGTTAATGGAGCCTTCAGCTTCGCTTCGATCATCTCTTGTTATCTTAGCGCAGGGTACACAGTCCCAATCCTGGGTATAGTAGGACAGATGCTTTCCGTATCCATTTCTCTCAGTTCCGTGATAGGTCTAATTTTAAAAATTCAGTGCTACGCAGTTCCCTTCCTGATAGTTTTTATGTCTTCTAACGAAGAGTGGTGTCTTCTGTTGGTTAAATGCTCCTACGAGCTGTGACAATAATGTAATGACCCTGCGACCTTGAAATTCCTTTTCCCTTCTTCCGGCATCCCTCTGCTCTCCACTGATATATTTGTCATCGCCCTAGCTTGTTAAGTTCGAAAAAACGAATTCAAGAGCAGATCAACTTTGGAAAATCGAAATCAATGATTATTGATAGCCGACGCATCGTCTACAAAGAATTTCTTCCACTGGGGCAAAGCGTAAATCGAGTCCACTATCGCCAAGTACTTGAAAGATTGCGAAAACGGATCAACAGGGTGCGCCGAAAACCGCTTGTAACTGGATCCTTCATCACGATAAGGTGCCGTGCCACACCGCCCTTAGCGTGTCCCAGTATTTGGCCTCTAAAGGAATCGCCGTATTGCAGGAACCGCTTTATTCGCACGATATGTCATCCTGTGAGTTCTTCCCTAGAACAAAATCAGCAGTCAAAGGAACCCATTTTGAGTCGACTGAGGACATCCAGTCGCACGTGACGAGAGTACTCACGGACTTCCTAGCCGAAGCGTTCTAGAAATGTTATGAAGCATGGAAAATGCGCTGGAATCTTGGTATAGTGGTCCAAGCAGACTGCTTTGAAGGAGTTAACAGTGTTGTAGAACAATTTGGAAATATACTGTTTTTGTGGAATCAGTCACACCTCGTAACCCAATAATTCCTCCCGCTTAATTTGGCATAAAGCTTAAGAATATTTGCCATACTCTATCTAGCGGTTAAAGTTGCCTGGATACGCTAACACTCTATTTCCCCTTCTACTTCATATCCCCTAGAAATGGATTTATGGGGTTGCTCAGCAGTAATTCGCTATGTCCCAGCACCCAGGGAAGCCTAATTAAAATATAATTTTATTGAAGATCATCAAACATTGGGTAACAAACTTGGTAAATCCATAAAAAAGTTCCGGAGCTATGGATTTACCAGTTAGCGGCCTAAGATATGGAAGCCTTCTATCAAACCGCAAGAGCTCTAAGATATAGAAGCCTTCCATCAAACCGCAAGAGCTCTAAGATATGGAAGCCTTCCATCCAACCGCAAGAGCTCTAAGATATAGAAGCCTTCCATCCAACCGCAAGAGCCCCCCGTCACCAATTGTACTAGCTCGTCATACATGAATGAAACTAGCTTCAAAGTCGCTTAGGAAATAATTCAGAGGCAAAATCCAGGCTGCGTGGAATTTTTATTCGACCAAAACGCGGTATTTCTAAGGTCACTCTACTTTTTGAAAACTTGTTCTTAAATTAGGTTTGATAGAACCTGGACAGCACATACACCATATTCCTGTCTGATGTCGTAATTCTTTCTCTCATTTAGAAGTATAAGGATTTGAAAAATTTCCTTGATAAAAAAAACCACTCCCGACCGTTTGTGGCTTGCGGCTGCGTAATTGATTGTAGAATAAATTGCTGGTTCTTCTAACAAATATAGAAGAATATTAACTATGTAAGGCTGCGTAGAGCAATCGGTTAAACCTCCAACTGAATTAGGATGTTACGCTTTCTGATTACCCACGTTGGGGAAAATATTATAAGCCCCCGAGCGGAAGAGAGCCCACAACTGCTGAAGAATACTGCTGATAATGCCAGTAAGGGACTCAGCAAAAGCTACTTTGCTATCTTCAGACTGGATAAAGAAGCGAGACAAACAGCTCATCAAACAGGTAGTAAATGAGAACAGAAGGCAATATCTTCTGCCATCAGAAAATCTGTCAGGGCATTTATGTATTGACTCCCAGGCCTCAGCTGGCTATTAAAAATTTATAGTCGCGGATAACTTTGTTTATTTAGAGACCACTATTAGCATGGCCGTGGTAGCCGACTAGCTAGTATTGCGAACTGACATTCGAAAGGCTCGGGCTCAAATCCCGGTGCCACCAAAATCAAAAATTTTATGGAATATTCACTTAAATAAACTAAATTAAATTTTTTAATTGCGGTCGCCCCTTGGCTGGGAATGTCCACTCCTTCGAGTGTACAAGTATTTCGGACATGAAATAAAAGCTCCTCGTAAAAAGACCATTACCAGTTCCGAGGCGGTTTTGTATAAACTGTAGGTTCCTCCATTTGTTGGAAAAGCATCAGGACACATAACCACAAATTGGAGGAGGAGCTCGACCGAAAAAAACGCTTCAGCGATATATATATATTGTATATATATTAACATCACTTATAATGTCCGCCTTGCCAACTTATGCTACTCTAGAATTGAAGTACAAAGTCCTCTCTCGTTGAGAAAATACCAAACTCTACATAGCGCTCATCAATCCCATTCAACTGTATGGTGCCAAAGCGTGGAAGATGTCAACATCCGATGAACGAACCTAAGAAGTCTGCGAGAATACGGTTTTGCAGACGATTTGTGGCTCTCTGACCCGATGACGAACACCTTGGATGATGAAACAATGAGTTGTGCGAGATATGCGATTACATTGACATAGTTAAGCGAATAAAGTGAAGGAGTAAAAAGCTACGCAGACTTATTCAAGTCGTCTGAACGAACGAAAATAGTCGAACTGTGAAAATATTCCGTATATAAAAGGAGGGAAATAAAGATCTCTGCGCTGGTTCAGAGACCTGATGAGGAAGGATCTAAGTTTACTTGCTTTTATTTTCTTTATATATCATTTACATACATATATATGCTCATGTATACATACATAATGCTTTTACTCATTAAAAAAACAATAAAAAAAATTCTCGATGTCTGTCATATAGCCCGTGGTGCAGTCAGCGCTGATAAATCAAAGTTTTTAATGAAATTCTCTCAATCACCTCAAAATTTTAATATCCTTGCAAAATTTCCAACATTGAACAATTGTCACTAATTTTTACTTACTTTGCTTTTGTTTTTTTTTTTGCACTTTACTCCAAACAGCGCTTTAAGGACAATGACATCGAAGTGAAGCGTAAGGATGGCATCATATTGCTGCGCGAATTGGCAGCGGAGGTGAAGAACTTTATGGATTTCAAACGCAATGCCGTGATGGTAAGTTAGCTTTACATACATACATACATACATATATTTATAGAATATATATACCATATATTGTACATATGTATATCTGCATTATATGTAAGCTTGAATGTACATAAACGCCAATGCCAAACTAATGACAACGGAAGCGCCAAAAATGGCAGAGACGTCGAACGCTGCAGCCGTGAAGGCTGTGTGAGGTATAGCTAGCCTTAGAGGTATAGCGCTATTAATATGAATAGTGTCGTATTGGCAGCCAACAAAATGTCCTTACGCCGCCTTAAGGTGCACGAATACGACAACACTTACTTAAACAGCAGCAGCGCCGCTCGCTCGCCGTACGCGCATGCCGAGGTGCAGGCAGCGAAGTGTGTAAAAATTATAATTTCTTTGATATCCGCGAGCACTATTTTGGGGAAATTGGAATAGAAATTTAATACTTTATATATATTTGTATATATGTAAACGCAAATATTTATGTATGAATCGATAAACGAGTCGGAGGCATACAAATTTTATTGCAAAAAATAGAAAAAAAAATAATTCAAAAAGTGTTGAAAATATGAAAAAACTTCAAAACAACACCGCCAGGCTTTTGTGGTGCCAATTGTGTAACAAATAATGGAAAATAAAAAAGGAGACGCGAAATTTGTATGTCGTGCGCTGTGAAGAGGATTTTCAATTACTCACACACACACACACACACACACACACACACACGCACACAAACACACGCATGTAATATACGCATAAAAATTCCATCGAATATGAGCGAATGTTGGCCTTTAGTTAGAGATTAATCTTTCTTTTCCGTATATATTATATCATATTTAGATATACATATGTATGCAAAATATCTATAGAATAGTAGAAACTTAGCAAAATAGCAATTTGCATAAAAACTTTACAGTTTTGCCTTTATGTTGCATATTTATTATGCAATAAATAAAATTAATATAAACACGAAATTTTTTTTTGTCATAAAACAAATGTAGGGAGGCTCTTCTAAGGCTCAGAAAAATTTTGCAACTTTCAAACAATACCTATACATATATATATATATATATATAAGTGGGGCTTTGTAATCGCTGAAGCAATTCTCGTTTTGATGTTTTCCCAACAAATGGGTGAACCAACAGTTTACACTAAGACGCTTCCGAGCGTCTGCCGGGTTTTTTACGAGGAGCCTTTTTTTGTATGTCCGAAATACACTCGGAGGGCTGGACATTCCCTGCCGAGGGGCGACCGCAATTAGAAAATTTAATTTAATTTATTATTTAAATGAATTTTCTATAACTTTTTGGATATTAGTACGACAACAGGATTTGAACCCGAATCTTCCGAATGCTAACCACTCGGCTACCACGTCCGCCATATTTATATTACGAGGGGATGCGACAAAAGTTCGGTTACTTGCTGACTACCAATTTGTTTTTGTTTAATATGAAAACACTAAATCCTTTGCAATTACTTTATTAGTCTTCCTTTCAAATTTTACACCGATCGCCTGAAATAGAGACTAGAAAACGCAATATAGCTGAAGATAGGTCAGACGAAATTCCACCACCAACGCAAATAGAAACTCTTCATGTGATTTTATTCAGTTTTCGGCGGAACTTACAGTATACAAGTGAATGTCAGAATGCATGTAGAAGAATTGCACCGTTTCTAAAGACAATTTCTAGTTTCCTCCGCAGATTCTAGATCGAACATATTTCCGTAGAGGAGGAGGACCGTGACCGGACCGCTCTGGTGAAGTCAAAAATTGACGAAGACGCACGATTGACACAAGAAATGACTGCTAAGGAACTGGGTTGTAGCGCGACTATTAAGTAATCATCTGACATACACGAAGTGATTTGCTTGCGAATTTTAAATGAGGCCCAAAAAGGGGCGAGAGTAGTTTTTGCTTATTTTTTCCGTAAACGAATTCGAAAATAGTCACTCGAGCAGCTTTAGTAAAGTCGTTGCTGTTGGCGAATTTTGGTTCTAAAAGTACGATCCAGAAAACAAACAGCAGTCCATGGTATGGTGCCCAAACATGAGCAAACCCACCCCTGAAATCTAAGTAACAAAAATCAGCAGCAAAAGTAATGATGTCAGTATACTTCACCCGATCTAAAATCGTAGCAGCTATTCCAAAAAAAGTGAACAGTGAGTTTCAAAAGTTTGAAAATACAAAAACTTATGTAATAAAATATTGAATAAACGCGATGCGGTGCAGAATCCCTGCAGGAGAAAACCAACTAGTATGCAAAAGTTCTAGTTAAATACTAGTATGTTCAAGATGAAATCATACCAGTTTGTTATTTGCCAAGAAGGCCGCCAGAAGCGGGAGAATTAATGATTTCACTCAACGTTTGTTGTTGTTGTGTCGGCTGAATACCATTTTCTGCGCTGTTCTATTGAATTTGGAAAAATAAGAAGTTAGAGCGTACAACTGCCGGTACGAGTCCCGCTAGAAGCAAATTAATTTTTAATCTTTTTTTTTAATTTTCAGTAAACCAGAAATTTTCACCACACCGTCATTTGCATGTTGTTGTTGTTTTTAGTACGCCATGCCTGAGTATAATTTCCTGAAAAAAGTTTTGTTGAAGTGCGCAGATTTCGTTACTACCTGCAACTCGCGGGCGGCTCTCTCATTTTTATTTTATTTTATTTTATTTNAATATTTTATTTTATTTTATTTTTATTTTTATTTTATTTTTATTTTATTTTATTTTATTTTATTTTATTTAATTTTATTTTTATTTTATTTTAATTTTATTTATATTTTTCGCGAAGCAGAAATTCTACATGCCTAAATGAACTAGTATACAACTAGTATGAAGCTGATGCATAGTAGGACAATGTCAGCTAGTCGCTTACATGGAAAATGGATGAAGATATTGGTGTAAAAATGCAAACTAATAGAATTCTAATTGACAACTAGTATTTTCCCCTGCAGGGATAGTACATTGGTAGAACATAAATGTCTATTTTTAACATTTTTATTTTTTTATTTTTTTAGTTATTTTTATTTTTATTTTTTATTTCTTTTTCTTCAATATAATTTCTTGCACACCTATTCGCTATTTTTTTTTTAGTTTTGCTATTCTTTCAATGTACATTAATATATATTTTGCCTGCATTGCATTGAAACATTTTCTCAACTGCTGACAAGGTCCAGCAACACCACAAACATCTGCCACCCGCAGCCACAGACACAGCCGTATTTTATATGCAAAATAAAAGTAAAAAATAAAATATAATAAAATAAAATAAAAAAATAGAAGAAATAAAAAAACTTTTGTAAAACTTTTTAGTTTCCGTACACTCGAACTGCTACTTTTTTCTATCAGGAAAAGAGAAATCTGCACAAATTTCAAATTTCTTATAATATTAAATGTAACAAAATTGCAAAAGGTTCAACTATTGTATGCCACCTTACAACAACAACGTATTCACTAGCCACCACTTTGCATTTTTTGATCCATACTACAACTGCACACACTCACATTGTGCCGCCAGCAGCATACCCTTTTCACAAGCACTAACGCTATGTTATCCTCTCCAAGGATTATAGTGTCGTTTTCCTTAAAACACCTAGCCAAACGTGAAATAACTGTGAAGAGATATTATGCGGTGTAAAACACGTACGAGTATATGTATGTGTGTGTGTATATATATGTATGTGGTTACGTGCTTTGTTTTTGGTAGGCATTTTTATGGTCGTCAGATTTGATGGTCCTTCGTTCTCGCTTCCATTTTGTTTTTACGTTTAAATTCATTGTCTACACGTCCATCATTTTATGCGGATATATTTACCTACAAAATGAAGTGTGTGTGTTTGTGTGTGTGTGTGTATATAAGTTTGTGTGTATATTGAGTAATATATATCAGCATTTATTTTACCTTAGTTACATTAATATTTATTGGCCAAGGCATCTTTAGCATTTTAAGGCATGCTTTGCACACAAACAACCACACGCATACATACACACACACATATAAATATATATAAAATTTTTTATAAATTGTATTTTGCCTGCTTGTCAATGTGTTTGTGTTGGCATATATAATTTTCTTTTGGATTATCCTTGAAAATCCTTTAAATGCGCTTACTTAGTGTATATAAAAAAAAATTATATACCAAAAATATATTAAAAAGTTTGTGCATAAATATGTAGAAAAAATGTTTTAAAAATATGAAAATGCCGTAATAGTTTAGTTTATGTACACTTAGCTGCCTAATCGAGTCTTATATAGTTGGTATTGCAGCCAAAGTACTGCCTGCCACACTACATACAAACGAGCTGCACTTCCGTACGCTTCATTGTGTCTCGAGTGTGTAGAACATTACTGTATTTTTCTCAAATTGAAGTAGTTGTTTGCAGGTCCTACAGCCTTTCTGCACCCAATAAGCACAGCGTTTGCCTGCCGAATGCTGAACACTCACAGCTTACATGATTCTCTCTATCCATACATTCCATTTTCCTTACATTCTTGCTTCCAATCAGACCTATAACCTCAACGGCAACGCTTCGTTAACAGTCCTAACCACCGTCTGGAACCCGGTCTTTTTAGCATTAGTAAAATCTTTGTAGATTCAGCATCATAAGTTTTGCATATAGTTTTCACGAGTCTGCCGTCCGTGACTTGTTCCGGACGTCTATTGGCCTGACGTATTAATATTACTTCTTACATTTGCTTCAGTTTTCTGAATGGCACTGGTAGGAAACTGTCTCAGACCATATATTTTTGAGAATATGTGAAAAATGTTTCTTGTTTTCAGACAGTGTTCATATCGTCTCTCTACATAGTGTGACGGTAGCCGACTGAGTGTTATATAAAATTGAGTCCTTAATCAGTGTTGTAAAAAACTGAGTCCTTCCATAAGAATGCATATTCTTTAACTCTGAAAATCAGCTCCATGCAGGGTCTCTGAACTCCACTTTTATAGTAAATATTTTGGCCGAAAAGATACTGCAATGGTTTGGCAGCTTACATGATTTCCAGTCTCTACTTGGGTT